CTAAGATTCAGCTTGTTTCTAATCACCCATAGACGCATCCACTCAAATGACTTGTTATCTGGTCTTTGCCATGTGAGCATCATGCAGTCATGCAGGCGAGTAAAAGAGTGTTCTAGCGACGTTGCGCACTGAAAGTTTCCATGTCATTTCGCTTTGAACATCATTAATTCCAAGGAACGTCACCTTGACATGCTATCCTAGTCATCACTATATCTGCTTCTTCCACGCAGTCCAGATTTAAAGTTTTGTGTTCTCCTACCTCGTCGTATCGAAACTCCATCCTGCCTAACCTATCACGCATGTTAATCTACCAAACAGGAAGGAAACGCCACTTTCTTGACTGTATGCATAATTGAAGTTGCAACTTGTCGTCTACTGTTGTCAATTGTTATTTCCCAGTGATGGCTTGTTGTATTACATTCCACAACTTTGGTGTGAAATATTGAAAACGCGCCCACCTAGATGGATAAAACTTCCTTTGACTTGACTTGACGAAGGAAATAACTATTTTATGAGTGCTATATTGCATGGAGTTCTGGTGGCAAGGGGCTTGTGTCTGTTCGTGCGCTAGGCATTGATATCCATGAGAGTGAACAATGAGTTCCACTAGTAGGGGTCCTCAGACAGCCTGCTTCTCAAATAGATAGGTACGAATGCACATGAGTGCAACAGCACTACCGTTAAGATGTTTTTTCCTTGCCATGGAAGGCCATTAATTCACTGAGCTTGGAGTTTTGCTTGGTGGCTTCTCATCTCAAACCAAGCCAAGTAGAGTCAAAGCAAGCTTTATGAACCATAATGGGTTCATTTTCAGCATTTACACTAGCACTACGGACAGATGGAGGATAATAACAAAATACATCCTTGGGAAGAAAAAGGGGAAAAATACACAACTGTTACTCCAACAACCGCTCGCGCAGCGTGTTACTGACTTTCGCTGCGTAAACAAGGAAACGTGAGAAATAAAACAGTATTACAATATGATGGGGTGCGGGAGGATAAATTTCTGAATTTCGAACGAGTAGAAGAAAAAGATACCGTTTTGAAAAGACTAGTGTGAAGTGGATGAAATCGATCGTTTAGTACCTTAGAAGAAAATCATTGCAGACATCAAGATGTCAAGAAATGATCAATTCAACTAGCGAATCTCTAGACAAGCCGCTGCACGTAGAAATATGTTTTATAGATCGCATCAATAAGATGTAGTCGTTCTGAAGCAGTCCTGGGAAAATGACAGGAGAGCATTATAACCAATGGGGAATAATACAAGAGGTCACAAACCGGAATATTAAAGTACGAGGTACTGAAAGCATAAAGATTTCTGGATTTTTGAAAGGTTTTACACACATGCGTGGACCAAGAAAGATTCGAGGACAAAAGGACGCCGAGGTACTTGATGTTGGAAGAGCTGGGTATGGGATTTTCATTCATAGTAGGAGGGGGAGAGAAAATTATGAGGGACTGCAACTTATCGCCATGGAGAAAGAAAATATTACGGCACTGCAATTAAAAGCATTAAGCGTAAGAGCTCTGAATGAAGATCATCCCATCAGATCTTCCAACCTACGTTGAAGTGATAAAGAATCATGCTTAGTAGGTACTATACATCCCAGCACAACATCATTAGCATATGCACACCCTATAAACGTGGTTTGTATAGGGAGACGTTCAACATACAAGGAAAATAGAAAGGTGATAGGAGCACTCCTTGTAGAACATCACAGTCGGCACTGAGGACCGAGGATTTCTTACCGTTCAACTTGGTGTCGTGAGTACGATCAGTAAACTAGTCCCGTAAATGATTGCACACACCCAGGTGAACTCTATTTCCGGATAGCAGGTTTAGCAGCGTTGACCAATCTAGGCTTCCAAAGGCATTCGAATAATCCAGGAAGAGAAGCCGTACGGATTTACATTTTTGATCTAATGCAGAGGCTATAGAATAAACAAGATATGTCACTACATCCAATGTGGAGCGCTGGGGTCTATACGCAAACTGGTAAATATCGTTCCCAGGTTCGTCTGAGCAAATCCGCAGAATTAACAGTCTTTTGAAAACTTTTAGAAGCACAGATGAACATGCAATTGGGAGATAGTTCTGAGATCCATTTTGGTACTGGAGTTATACTGGCCGTTCCCCAAATGTCCGGGATCAAATCCGTGGTGAGGCATTTCTTAACGAGATCTTAAAAGCAGTGCGAGAGAATCAGCACACTCCTTAAAGGCTAATGGTGAGAGAGCATCTGGACCACAATCTTTGTTTGCCTTTAATCTTTTGAGTTCCTTGTGAAGGTTGCTTTTATCGAACAGCGAAGCTGGATTTGAGCTAATGAAGACGAGGGCAAGGAAGATAAGCTTACTGAGGCGGAACTAAACTCAGGATTCAGTTTATCCACATCTACTTCACCGCTCTGTCTGAAAACGCTCTTACTACAGGGCTACCTCAGAAGCCTCTATAGATCGCAACAGTTATGGCTGCCCAGAACTGCTTCGACATATAATTGGTTTAGCCTTGTATCTCGGATTTAATGGCTGTGCTTAGGCTTTTGACAAGGGTAGCATTCTTGCACTTGCAAGCCAATTCTTTTATCGTTAGAAGTCGCTTTAGTAGTGGTGATGAAAATCTATCTAACCTTAGATAGAACGTTTCAGCAGGGCAACACAAGTCAGAGCAATATTTGATGTAGTCCGTAAGATAGTCACATTCGAGCGCCAGGTACTCGTTGTTGAAGACCGAAAAATCAGTTAGCGAAAACATCGTGTGTAGCTACATGATATTTTCCAAGGAGCAATTTTTCCGTTTGATAATCTAGTAAGAGCGTCTGGTCAGCCTTAAAAAATTAGACCTGCTGTATATGACTGGACAAACTTTTATAATATAATGGTCTGTGCAACTCAAAGGTGCCCGCTTTGTATGGCAAACAACTGTCGTTTATTTGTGAACACAGCGAGCAACTGGACGTCTTGTATGGTCGAAACAATCCCTAGGTCTACCAAGCCAATTGCCTTCAGGAATGTTGTATCCCATCTACTGAAGTCGCCAGCAACAATACAGATAGAATGAAGTAATTTAAATAGTAGCGTTTAAGAAACTTGTTCCTCAAAAGCTTTAACTCTGGTGCAGATGTCAGGAGTAATGTATACGTTGCCAACGAGAAGTGAATGAAAGTCGCTTAAGAACTTCGGTTTGCAGTGAACTAAATGGCAGTCTATAGAGAGCGTTGAGTAAGTGAATATTACGATTGTTGAGTTGCACCAACGTTGATTAACCTGTTAGAACGTTATCACCAGGAAACCGGGGATTTCCGGGGCGGTCAGGCCCGATGGGAAAATAACCATCGAGCTGAATTACAGTTTGCAACCAGCTTTCTTGTAACAGAATGATTCCTGTATTAATATACACATTTCGAAGCATAATAGCACTGAGCGCACTGATTTTACCAAAAAGCGAGCGAACATTACTGGAAAGTATCTGTGGGACTATTTAAACACTTCTATTGCTCCTGTCAGTATTGACCATAGAAAACGACAAGGTAGATAACGAGTAGGGTGAAAATTCTGCAAATAGGGGTCAAAATACTGCATTTGCCCAGAGATTTCGGAGTTCCATATGGATGATATGGGTGATGGACTGCCGCCTATTTCGTGGGAACATATCCCGAGGAACATGGCGTGGTCTGGCTAATCGCACGTCTTAATTAGTGTTAGATTTTCGTTGCATCAGGTATCGCTGAACTATCAAAAACCCTTCATATTTTCGTCCGATCTTCCATCAAAACTGAGAGGCGATTATAGGTATGGAAACTATACCAGTTGTGTCTGTTAGACAGCAACTAGTTGACCAGCTCCAACAAAATAATCTCGGTTTGCATGTGCTGCTCGACGTCCGCTACTATCCGGTAGCACAAAGGGGCCAACCTAAAGGTGCGATCTATAGGCTGAGTGGTTGGGCATGTTCCAAAATACCAGCGTGAATTAGGTAAGCTGTTGGATTAGTGTGAACAAGCCAAAATTTGACAAGCTTAGTACACGGTGGAACAGCGGAGGACCTTCGGCTGTAATTCGTTAAGTCTCCAATGCCGTGCATTACGTTAGTAGTTAGATTGTGCTATATCAGGGTAACCAGACATCGTTAGAACGACTTGGATCTAGCGAGAAAATGGTGAGTTCATGGGAAAATTGTCAATCGATAAGCCATCTAAAGGTTGATCAGGAAATCGGGTTGTGACTTCCAAAGAAGCGGAGGACAAGAAATATTTCACAAAAATCGTTTAGTGTTAAAATACTGAGCTTAGTGGCAGTCAAGACCGATAAGAGCGTGAAAGCTGATAATCTTTTACACGTACCCGCAGATGAGGAGTTTTTTAGAACAGTTGTACTCAGGCATTGGCGAAAATTTAACGAGTTTCATAATTTGAGGCGCCACACACTACAAAGTTCTCTGAAGTTGAATCTACCGGTGCTGAAGAAGAACCAACTGCATTGAGACCAATTCGACTGGCGAGCTCATTAGAAATGACCACATACGCTAAAGTAGACTAAAGAGACATTCTGCCTCCAGCGTTCCTGTCATATTTAGACCGGTGAGATAATGCGCTGGACCAGTCATTCGTTACCTCCACATTAATGTGAGGAAAAGATATCACTCACTCAAGCCCAATCCGAAGCGCGTCACCACATGATCCCGAAGAACAAAAACTGATGCAAAAGCGCATTTCCCGGACAATTTGTACCACTAATTCCTTTAACACCGAAATCTAGGCTAAAGCGCTCTAAGATAGAACATAAAGAAGCGAGAAATACATGCGGTATCTGCAACCTCCATTCGTTATGCTAATGCATGCCAATCGGGATTTTGCTTAACTTTCCTCAACCAGGGTGTGTAGGAAAGGTCAGGAGCGATTTCTAGCATGGAGAGTAAAACAAAGAGTCCTTTCACTTATTCATAGAAAACGCCTAGGGTATAATGCTGGAAAGAGATTTGCCAAATTGTTACCTACCGATAGCGCGATGAGGTGTTGGTTCTGTTGGTAACCCGAAATCCAGCATCGATGATCCGACAGTGCTGGCTGCGATCGCGCCCCACAATAGTTCGGGTTCGAATTCAGGCATCTCGATGTCAGGTAGCTTGAAAACACGATCAGACTGCTTCTCCATTATGACAGTCTCGGTGATAGGGACCACAGCTGCCGATCCGTTGTGTAAAAAAATTGGCAGGAACAAGAAAAATGCATAAGAGAAGAAAGAAATCGACTGGTTGCTATTGCGCTTTTGTTCTTCACAAGGAGAGAAAGCACATCCTTAAAAAATTTACATCTGCATGTAGATATTTTATAACAATAACACAGTAACCAAAAGCACCGAATGTTCATTTCGAACCGTTCAAAATTGCGCTCGATTCCGAGTTGCTTCACTGAAAACTGAACGAAAGATGCTGTCCCAGGGCCGATGTTTGACATTTAGCGCCTTCTGGCTAAGATGTAAACGATAATGTCAAGCTCTGGCGAATGCAATCGCAGCTGTCAGAGTATGGACGAAGAATATGGAAATCCTGCAGAAGAACATGGCACATTTACATATTGCCTATATAGAGTGAACGATAACACACGGCGCACGCAGCGATGAAGACAGCTGTGTCAGATAAACGTGGTGAGTCCGAAGCAAGAGGAACAGAGCCTGGGGAATTTTGGACGCGGACAATTTATGTTTGGTGCCAACGTCTCCCCAATTTTGGAAACGATTCACACTGGAATGTAGCACAAAAAGCAGCTTTTTACCTGCTCGACCTGAGAGCTTGAATGAACTAATTGGTGTATCGGGAAATCTAGACGAGATCACCAATTTCAATTATGAACTTAATACAGTCAAACCCGCTTTATTGCAAACTCGGTTTATAACCCACCCCGCTTTATTGTCCAGATTTGCAAAATATAACTTCTTTGCTCTTAAATATGCTAAATCGTCACCGTCTAATTGCCAATTGCCGGTGTTGTCCCATCGCTTAATTGCCCAGCTGCGTGGGCTGTGCTCTTGTCGCTTTGTCAATTTTACACCCTCGCTCCGATTAATTTTTATTACGATTACCCCACAGCTAGCCAGTCCGATCGAGTCAAGAACAACAAAGATGTCGGCGGCGTTATTGACAGATCGGAATATGTTACTTAGGTCATTTACTGCAAGGTTAAGCTAAAGGTACAAACGGATGTGCGCACGCCCTGGGCCCTATTAAAAACTCGAAAACTGAGCAACCTTTCTGTTCCACATTTGTCAGTACTCTATTGGTTACACACAAGTATGGCCAGTAATAGAAACGAGTTGTCCTTGACAGAAAGGTTGGACGTTCTAGACCAAATTAAAATTTGTCAACCAGCAATCTGGCAGGACAAGTTGTCCCATGATTTACACATTTCTCGTCGTACCCTACCAGGTTGATTGCCAGCGAAAAGGAACTCCGGCAGATTCTGTTGCAGGGCACTGCAAGTTCTCAGGAAAAGAAGCGTTGTGAAAAGGATGAAAATTTTGAAAATGTATTGAAAGACTGGGTGCTATCGATTCCTGAGCACAGCCAAACAGTTACAGGCCCGCTGCCGAAGAGAAGGGCAGAAGAATTAGGAGAAAGCCTTGAGAAAAACTTTGCTGCCACAGAAGTAGGGTTACAAAGATGGAAGAGCCGAAATCAATGTGTGTATAAACGTGCAGATGTCGAAAAGAGCTCCGCGGACAGAACCTTCTGTGAAAATTGTCTAAAAGATCTACTGTCTGGAAGGTCTGAGCTTTCATACCAACAATCTTAACGGATCGGAAAAAGCTATGGATGGGATCACTCTCATGTGCTGCACGAATATGTCAAGCACAGATTAAAAAATGATTTTGATTGGAAAACGTAAGAAACCATTATGTTTTAATGACGTAAACATGGACCCAATACCTGTGCATTACAGAATTAACAAAAATGTGTGGATGACGTAAGAAATTTTCACCGAGTGGGTTTTCGAATGGGACAACAAGCTAGGCCAAACTATTAGGTTGCTTTTGGATAATTGCACAGCGCATCCACAGGTAGGAGATCTGAAAAATATACAGATGGAATTCGTGCCGACAAACATGACCACCATACTTTAACCCATCGGCCAAGGTGTGATTATGAATCTGAAAATCCGTTGCAGAAAAGAAATTGTGGACCGGATTCTTTAGCACATTGAAAAATACGTGTCATCCGGTTCATCGTCGGCGGTGGATGTCAGCGCCAAGATTTGCTACTCGATACAGTTCAATAAAAGCATGCCTTCGGCATGTTTGCTTCAGTCGACTGACTTCCGGTGCACGAACTGATGACGCCGTCATCGCTGAGGAAGAGATCAGCGCTTGCACAATCCCAGTCAGCAATGCAGAAGAGTTCGTCGACATTGACAACGATGTGGAATGTACCTCAGATCTGACAGCTGTTTAAGATGAAATCGTCAGTAAAATTTTGGAGAATTGACTAGGACAGACAGAATGTAGCGACTCAGAGGATGACGTACCAGATGCCACCGTCGCAATGAGACTGAAAGTTAACGTGGTGCGACGGTTTGCCTACTTCCTTGACCCACTGAGCTATACTGGGTGATGCCTCCGGGCCTCTCGAGAGCTACTCCTATCAGATTGGTCAATAGTGAGAGATCAGACAAACTCAGTCTCCTGGTCCTCCAGGTTGGGGGTTTGAAATGGAATGGCGTTCATTTCTGTAAAACTAAATCATTGCCACCCACCCGCTGCCTTGCGGACAGGCTTTTGAGCCTGTCTAAGTCTGGGCGTCCTGGCAGTATCTCAACCCAAATATAACTATGACATTTTCTTCAAACATAAACTTCATCCTGCATCGACCGTCGCGCAGATTATCAAGGGTCGCCTTATTTGCTGCATACAGCAGGGCGGATAATCGAAAACATGCTACTGCTGGCGCCTCCCTTCTTTCTTTTCCACCTTTTACTCTTACTCCCATCTCGACCTCCATCACTAACCTTCCTTCTATAATTCCCAGCTTAATTGACAGCAACCGAAGTGCCACTGCAGTAGAACCATCTGCAGCCACCACCCCACCGCACCTATCGGACGCCTATCGGCAAAAGTCCCTTATAAGGTCACGCTATTCCGTTTCCATGGCGACATTCAACGTTCGCACTCTAAGACAAACAGGTCAACAGGCTGCACTCGCACGCACCTTGGACACACTGGGTATTGAGGTGTGTTGTGTGTCCGAAATTAGGAGCAATGACCCTAACGGGGTTATTGAATTAACTGCATCCGGCTTATCCTCTCGTTATTGGTTGCACGCATCCGGAGACGCCGATGCGGCACTCACGGGTCAAGCTGGTGTAGGTATCATTCTAAGCTCCAAGGCTGAGTCATCGATGGTTGATTGGATTCCGGTGAACAGCCGTTTATGTTCAGCCCATTTGACGACATCAGCTAAGGTTGATTCACGAAGTAGTACCAAGCGCTGTTTGGTTGTGATTTCTGCTTGCGCTCCCATCGACTGCAGTTCAAATGCGGTCAAGGACATATTCTATCACGAAATGAAGGCCCTACTACGCAGTGCTACTAGTTCAGATATTATGGTACTTGCAAGGGATATGAACGCACAAGTAAGGTGTCTGAGCTCTTCAGGAACTCAGCTGGGTGGTAATTGTGGGCTTAACTCCGAACGATTTGAAAACGGTGAGCATCTGCTGCAACTGTGTGCGGAGCACCAGTTGTTTCTTAGTAGCACTGCTTTTAGACACAGTGTGCGCCGAAGTGCCACTTAGCGTCATCCTGTAGCTGGCCAGCGATGGACCTAAATTGATCACATTGCCATAAGTTACAGGTGGCGTGCTTCCATCCTGGATTGCTGCTAATACTGGAGTACCTGTGTCGACTCTGGTCATGCCTTGGTACGCTGTCGTTTCTCCATGAACTTTACCGGGAGGCGCACCAAGCGTCCCCTACGATTGGCAACGGAGAAATCGTCTCAGTCCTCGGTCAGGCAAGCCTATCAAGAAGCACTGTATACCGAACTTTCGCTGTCTTGTCCTAATGACACTGAGCTGCAGTAGAATAGGATCTCGGCCGTCATGCACGACGCAGGAGCAGCTGCTTGTGGCACCATCAATTGTCACCGCATCAGTCACTGGATATCCGAGAGGTCGGTGGACCTGTTGGAATCTAGAAGAACCCTCCAGGCTGGCTCTGAGCACTATGTGACAAGACGGGCTATTAGGCGCGAACTAAAGCTGAGCCCAGGTGCTGACAAGAAAGCGTGGTGGATCACTCGGGCTCAAGAAATGGAGGAGGCTTAAGCAGTAGGCAATTACTGCAAGCTCTTCCAGCTGATCCGAACCACTGGTTCCAGGAAACCAGGCGTCAGTGAGACAATCAGAGACAGCGCGGGTACACTGGTACACAATAAGGAGCGCCGTATGGCTCGTTGGGCGGAACACTTTGGAGGTCAGTTCAGCTGGCCCCCTACTCCCGGACCTCTTCCTACTCAGGTGGTGCAGGACGTGCCATGAACGGTTAGTTTAGAGTTTCCGTCGGAGGCCGAGGTCCGAAACAGGATCACAGCCCTCAATCGTTTTCGTGCCGCTGGCCCGGATTCCCTCCCACCTGCACTATTTAAGGATGGAGGTAAGGCCCTCTGCAAAGCACTGACCTCCTTATTCGTATGTGTCTGGAAAGAAGAGAGTGTCCCGGCTAATTGGAGCGAATCGATTATAGTGGCAATATACAAGAAGGGCAGTCGCACAGACTGTGATAACCACAGGGGTATTAGCCTAACGCCTGATGTGACAAAGTTAATGGCCTCGATTCTCGTTCGTCGCCTCACTGCGGAACGGGAATCTCTGATTAGGGAAGAGCAGGCCGGTTTCCGCCCAGAACTTGTCCGTATAGACCAAATATTCACTTTGCGGCAGGTGCTAGAGCAGCGCACGCATACCGTAGACCGACAATAGCTGTGTTCCTAGATTTCAAGAGTGCCATCAATTCCTTCGATCGATGCATTCTGTTCGAAATACTTGCACGGAATGGTGTTCCTACGAAATATGTGAACATCCTTCGTGCTCTATACTTGAACACTACAGGCTGCGTCAGGGTCTACGGTGACTTACCGGCTAGCTTTCCGACCACAAGTGGCGTTCGTCAGGGTTGTCCGATTTCCCCATTT